AAAATTATAATATACATTAATTTGAATAAATAAATAATTGTATAATTTTAAAATATTATATATATATATATTAAAATTGTTAAATTTTTAATAGGAGAGACTAAAATTGCACAATTATAATATTTAAGAGACTAAAATTGTTTAATTAAAAATTAAAAGACCAAAATCGCACAACTGCAATCCTTTAGAGACTAAAATTATTCAATTAAAACTTTGAAGATCAAAATTACACAATTACAATACTTAAGAGATCAAAAATACAATTAAATCTTTTTTCTTTTAATCAAAATCCGTAAGTGTTCCACTAAGTTCCACTAAATTCTAGTATGAGGGTGACTTGTTCATTTTTATTACACATTAATTACATTATATTGTTATTTTGATTATAGTTCCGCAGTCAAAAATGACTAAAGATATATATTATATGTTCATCGTCAGCAATGACGATTTAACAAATTTCAAAATGCCTTTTTATTGATGATGTTTGAACGATTTTTGAGTATTTCCGAAAGTGTTTGGCCGATATACGAAGGACAAGAAGCGATAAATGTTTGCAGATTTTATGATTGGTATAAATCGTTAAAGTCATTCGATTATTTTTATTGATTTTCTTTTCTAATTTTATTGCCGTATATTGAATTTAATGCAAAAGTGATTTGAAAAAATAATTTGTTACTTTTGCTGTTTTTTTTTTCAATCAAAATCCGTAAGTGTTCCACTAAATTCAGTTAGTTTTTGCTATTGGACACCTAGAGTGGAGACACATGTAAAACAGACTTCTAACGTTTAAGTGAGAAGTGGTGTCACTAGCAATGTGTACATGACTTTTGTAACAGAGATGTCTTAAAATTAAAAAGTTGTCGGCCCTTTTACGAGAAAGTACGAATGATCCGAAACAGGGTTGGTTACAGGCCCCATAACGATACCAAATAGTAATGAGTATGGCCAAAAATTATTTGGCCTAGCTAGAAACATCGAGTCAATTATTATAAAGAATAGCGTTCCATCATTATAAAGTAATATAGACTTTTGAATATATTTAGTGACTAAATTCTCAATGGTAACATTCCTTAATATATTTACATGAAACTTTCATAAGGTATATATACATAATATACTTAATCACTCCAATTGTTTAGAGCTGTCAAAACGGACCATCCTGGTAGATGTGGGTCGGCTCACTTTGACCCACCTTAAAAATGGGCCAACTCAACCCGGCCCACTTTTTTATTTTGTCAGAATTTTTATGGTCCGACCCGGCCTACCATGAGTTGGTGGGTCAAACGGGTCAGCCCACCAACCCACCAAAAAATTTTTACATAATAATCATAAAATTAACATTATTAATAGTCATAAATCATAACTCATCATATAAAATTAAATACAAACCATGCTAAAAGTCCAAATAAAAAATATCAATGTTCCATCATACAAAATTAACTACAAACCATAATCAAAGTCCAACTCCAAAATAAAAAGTTTCAATGTCTCATCATACAAAATTAACTACAAACCATAATCAAACTCCAAACTTCAAAATAAAAAGCTTCAATATTTTATCATACGAAAGTCTTGCAAAATAAACTTAATTAGAATCTTGCACGGAAATGTCAATAACAATTTCTTCTCTTTGCACATCCATTTTATCTCCATCTACAAATAGGAAAAAAAAGTGTTAGGATGAGCTATTGTAAAAATAAATAAGAAATTTTTCATTATAAAAATTACCTAATTCTTCAAAACCATGTAACCAATTTTGAGTTAGAATGAGTAACTTTACATTTTCAGGAAGAATGGTAGAACGATACTTAGTTAGCACCCGAGACCCAAGACTAAAAGCAGATTCACTAGCAACTATAGTGATTGGAATACTCAGCACATCACAAGCCATCCGAAGCACGTGGTATGAGCTACAGTGCAGATCATTCTATAGGTGGAAGGTACTAGTTTATGGTTCTATATTCTATTCAACAAATTGAACACGATGGAAACTTCTATTACTTAGAGACATT